TGGGGTGGGGATCTCTCAAGAACAGGGAATTTGGGATGAGGGATCCCAAGAACAGGGAAATTGGGGTGGGATCCTCCCCAAGAACAGGGAATTTGGGGTGGGATTTGTGGGGAACAGGGAATTCGGGGTGGGATCCTCCACAAATGGGGAATTTGGGATGAGGGATCCCAGGAACAGGGAATTTGGGATGAGGGTCCCGAAGAACAGGGAATTTTGTGGTGGGATTTCCCAGGAACAGGGAATTTGGGATGACGGATCTGCCAGGAACAGGGAATTTGGGGTGGGATCTGCCAGGAACAGGGAATTTGGGATGGGATTTGTCAGGAACAGGGAATTTGGGGTGGGATCCCCCACAAATGGGGAATTTGGGGTGGGGATCTCTCAAGAACAGGGAATTCGGGATGAGGGTCCCAAGAACAGGGAATTCAGGGTGGGATCTGTCAGGAACAGGGAATTCGGGATGGGGATCTCCCACAAATGGGGAATTTGGGATGGGATCTCTCAAGAACAGGGAATTTGGGGTGGGATTTGTCAGGAACGGGGAATTTGGGGTGGGATTTGCCAGGAACAGGGAATTCGGGGTGGGATCTGCCAGGAACAGGGAATTTGGGGTGGGATCTGCCAAGAACAGGGAATTTGGGATGAGAGATCCAAAGAACAGGGAATTCGGGATGGGATCTGCCAGGAACAGGGAATTTGGGATGAGGGATCTGCCGGGAACAGGGAATTTGGGGTGGGATTTCCCAGGAACAGAGAATTTGGGGATGGGATCTCCCAAAAACAGGGAATTTGGGGTGGGATCCTCCCCAGGAACAGGGAATTTGGGGTGGGATTTTGTCGGGAACAGGGAATTTGGGATGAGGGATCCCAGGAACAGGGAATTTGGGATGGGATTTTGTCAGGAACAGGGAGTTTGGGATGAGGGATCTGTCAGGAACAGGGAATTTGGGATGGGATTTGTCAGGAACAGAGAATTTGGGTTGAGGGATCTGCCAGGACAGGGAATTTGGGATGAGGGATCCCAGGAACAGGGAATTTGGGATGGGATCTGCCAGGAACAGGGAATTTGGGATGGGATCCCCCAGAAATGGGGAATTTGGGGTGGGATTTGTCAGGAACAGGGAATTTGGGATGAGGGATCCGAAGAACAGGGAATTTGGGGTGGGATCTGCCAGGAACAGGGAATTTGGGATGGGATCTCCTGGGAACAGGGAATTTGGGATGAGGGTCCCAAGAACAGGGAATTTGGGATGAGGGATCTGCCAGGAACAGGGAATTTGGGATGAGGGTCCCAAGAACAGGGAATTTGGGGTGGGATTTGTCAGGAACAGGGAATTCGGGGTGGGATCCTCCCCGGGAACAGGGAATTTGGGGTGGGATTTGTGGGGAACAGGGAATTCGGGGTGGGATCTCCCACAAATGGGGAATTTGGGGTGGGGATCTCTCAAGAACAGGGAATTTGGGATGAGGGATCCCAGGAACAGGGAATTTGGGATGGGATCTCCCAGGAACAGGGAATTTGGGGTGGGATTTTGTCGGGAACAGGGAATTTGGGATGGGATCCCCCACAAATGGGGAATTTGGGGTGGGATTTGTTGGGAACAGGGAATTTGGGAACAGGGATCTGCTGGGAACAGGGAATTTGGGGTGGGATTTGTCAGGAACAGGGAATTTGGGGTGGGGGATCCCAAGAACAGGAATTTTGGGGTGGGATCTGCCAGGAACAGGGAATTTGGGATGAGGGATCCTCCCCAGGAACAGGGAATTTGGGGTGGGATTTCCCAGGAACAGGGAATTTGGGATGAGGGATCCCAAGAACAGGGAATTTGGGGTGGGATTTGTGGGGAACAGGGAATTCGGGATGGGATCTCCCACAAATGGGGATTTTGGGGTGGGATTTGTTGGGAACAGGGAATTCGGGATGGGATCTGCCAGGACAGGGAATTTGGGATGGGATTTCCCGGGAACAGGGAATTCGGGGTGGGATCCCCCACAAATGGGGAATTTGGGGTGAGGGATCCCAAGAACAGGGAATTTGGGATGAGGGATCCCAGGAACAGGGAATTTGGGATGGGATTTGTGGGGAACAGGGAATTTGGGATGGGGATCTCCCACAACTGGGGAATTTGGGGTGGGGATCTCTCAAGAACAGGGAATTTGGGATGAGAGATCCCAAGAACAGGGAATTTGGGGTGGGATCTGCCAAGAACAGGGAATTTGGGATGGGATTTATCGGGAACAGGGAATTTGGGGTGGGATCTCGTCAAGAACAGGGAATTTGGGATGAGGGATCCCAAAAACCGGGAATTTGGGGTGGGTAATCCCAGGAACAGGGAATTTGGGGTGGGATTTGCCAGGAACAGGGAATTTGGGGTAGGGATCTCTCAGGAACAGGGAATTTGGGATGGGATCTCCTGGGAACAGGGAATTTGGGATGAGGGATCTGCCGGGAACAGGGAATTTGGGGTGGGATCCTCCCCGGGAACAGGGAATTTGGGGTGGGATCTGCCAGGAACAGGGAATTTGGGATGAGGGATCCGAAGAACAGGGAATTTGGGATGAGGGTCCCAAGAACAGGGAATTTGGGATGGGATCTGCTGGGAACAGGGAATTTGGGATGAGGGATCCCAGGAACAGGGAATTTGGGATGAGGGTCCCAAGAACAGGGAATTTGGGGTGGGATCTGCCAGGAACAGGGAATTTGGGATGGGGGTCCCAAGAACAGGGAATTTGGGATGAGAGATCTGTCAGGAACCGGGAATTCGGGGTGGGATTTGTCAGGAACAGGGAATTTGGGATGAGGGTCCCAAGAACAGGGAATTCAGGGTGGGATTTTGTCGGGAACAGGGAATTTGGGGCGGGATCTGCCAGGAACAGGGAATTTGGGATTGGATCTCCCACAAATGGGGAATTTGGGGTGGGGATCTCTCAAGAACAGGGAATTTGGGATGAGGGATCCCAGGAACAGGGAATTTGGGGATGGGATCTCCCACAAATGGGGAATTTGGGATGAGGGTCCCAAGAACAGGGAATTCGGGGTGGGATCTGCCAGGAACAGGGAATTCGGGGTGGGATTTATCAGGAACAGGGAATTCGGGGTGGGATCTGCTGGGAACAGGGAATTTGGGATGAGATCCTCCCCAGGAACAGGGAATTTGGGATGGGATCCCCCAGAAATGGGGAATTTGGGGTGGGATTTGTGGGGAACAGGGAATTCGGGGTGGGATCCCCCACAAATGGGGAATTTGGGATGGGGATCTCCCAAGAACAGGGAATTTGGGATGAGGGATCCCAAGAACAGGGAATTCGGGGTGGGATCTGCCAGGAACAGGGAATTTGGGATGGGATTTCCCAGGAACAGGAATTTGGGATGAGGGATCTCAAGAATAGGGAATTTGGGGTGGGATTCTCCTTGGGAACAGGGAATTTGGGGTGGGATCTGCCAGGAACAGGGAATTTGGGGATGGGATCCCCCACAAATGGGGATTTTGGGGTGAGGGATCTGCCAGGAACAGGGAATTTGGGGTGGGATTTCCAGGAACAGGGAATTCGGGGTGGGATTTGTCAGGAACAGGGAATTCGGGGTGGATAATCCCAGGAACAGGGAATTTGGGATGGGATCTCTCCAAGAACAGGGAATTTAGGATGGGATCTGCCAGGAACAGGGAATTTGGGATGGGATCCCCCAGAAATGGGGAATTTGGGGTGGGATTTGTGGGGAACAGGGAATTCGGGGTGGGATCTCCCACAAATGGGGAATTTGGGGTGGGGATCTCCCAAGAACAGGGAATTTGGGATGAGGGATCTCAAGAATAGGGAATTTGGGATGAGGGTCCCAAGAACAGGGATTTTGGGATGGGATCTGCCAGGAACAGGGTGTTTGGGGTGGGATTTCCCAGGAACAGGGAATTCGGGGTGGGATCTGCCAGGAACAGGGAATTTGGGGTGGGATCTGCCAAGAACAGGGAATTTGGGATGAGAGATCCAAAGAACAGGGAATTCGGGATGGGATCTGCCAGGAACAGGGAATTTGGGATGAGGGATCTGCCGGGAACAGGGAATTTGGGGTGGGATTTCCCAGGAACAGAGAATTTGGGGATGGGATCTCCCAAAAACAGGGAATTTGGGGTGGGATCCTCCCCAGGAACAGGGAATTTGGGGTGGGATTTTGTCGGGAACAGGGAATTTGGGATGAGGGATCCCAGGAACGGGGAATTTGGGGTGGGATTTTGTCAGGAACAGGGAGTTTGGGATGAGGGATCTGTCAGGAACAGGGAATTTGGGATGGGATTTGTCAGGAACAGAGAATTTGGGTTGAGGGATCTGCCAGGACAGGGAATTTGGGATGAGGGATCCCAGGAACAGGGAATTTGGGATGAGGGATCCCAGGAACAGGGAATTTGGGATGGGATCTGCCGGGAACGGGAATTTGGGGTGGGATCTCCCACAAATGGGGATTTTGGGGTGGTGGTCCCAGAAACAGGGAATTCAGGATGAGATCTGCCGGGAACAGGGAATTCGGGGTGGGATCCCCCACAAATGGGGAATTTGGGGTGGGGATCTCTCAAGAACAGGGAATTTGGGATGGGATTCTCCCTGGGAACAGGGAATTTGGGGCGGGATTTATCAGGAACAGGGAATTCGGGGTGGGATTTGTTGGGAACAGGGAATTTGGGGTGGGATTTCCCGGGAACAGGGAATTTGGGGATGGGATCTCCTGGGAACAGGGAATTCGGGGTGGGATTTCCCGGGAACAGGGAATTCGGGGTGGGATCTGCCAGGAACAGGGAATTTGGGGTGGGATTTTGTCGGGAACAGGGAATTTGGGGCGGGGGATCTCAAGAACAGGGAATTTGGGATGGGATCTCCTGGGAACAGGGAATTCGGGGTGGGATTTCCAGGAACAGGGAATTCGGGGTGGGATTTATCAGGAACAGGGAATTTGGGGTGGGATTTGTCGGGAACAGGGAATTTGGGGCGGGGGATCTCCCGGGACCCACCGGAAGTGGTAGGTGCCCTCCTTCTGTCCGAAGCCGCTGCCGGGGACGACGCAGATCCCGGTTTCCTCCAGGAGCCTCATGCAGAAGAACATGTCCGGGCTCTGCTTCTTCTCCTGGGAATTCGGGACGCAGTCCCAGGGTCGGGAAAACGGGGATCCAATCCCGCAGGGCTCATCCCACACACCCCACGGGGATCGGGATTGATCCCAATGAGTCCCACGTGGATCGGGATTGATCCCAGTGAATCTCACATGGATCAGGATTGATCCCCACGAGTCCCACATGGATCAGGATTGATCCCCATGGATCCCACATGGATCAGGATTGATCCCAATGAGTCCCACATGGATCGGGATCGATCCCAGTGAGTCCCACATGGATCGGGATTGATCCCCATGGGTCCCACAACTCCTGGGATTGATCCCAATGAATCTCACATGGATCAGGATTGATCCCCACAACTCCTGGGATTGATCCCCATGGATCCCACGTGGATCAGGATTGATCCCAATGAGTCCCACGTGGATCGGGATTGATCCCAATGAATCTCACATGGATCGGGATTGATCCCCATGGGTCCCACAACTCCTGGGATTGATCCCCATGGGTCCCACATGGATCAGGATTGATCCCCACGAGTCCCACATGGATCGGGATTGATCCCAATGAGTCCCACATGGACTGGGATTGATCCCAATGAATCCCACATGGATCGGGATTGATCCCAATGAGCCCCACATGGATCGGGATTGATCCCAATGAGTCCCACATGGATCGGGATCGATCCCAATGAGTCCCACATGGATCAGGATTGATCCCCATGGATCCCACAACTCCTGGGATTGATCCCAGTGAGTCCCACATGGATCAGGATTGATCCCAATGAGTCCCACATGGATCGGGATCCATCCCCATGAGTCCCACATGGATCGGGATTGATCCCAGTGAGTCCCACATGGATCCTGGGATTGATCCCAATGAGTCCCACATGGATCGGGATTGATCCCCATGGATCCCACAACTCCTGGGATTGATCCCCATGGATCCCACAACTCCTGGGATTGATCCCAATGAGTCCCACATGGATCAGGATTGATCCCATCCATCCCAACATTTCCCAGTTGGGATCCTGTCCATCCCAGTTTGGCTCCCGCCCATCCCCAACATCTCCCAGTTTGGATCCCATCCATTCCCACATCTCCCGGTTTGGATCCCATCCATTCCCACATCTCCCGGTTGGGATCTCATCCGTCCCAGTTTGGATCCCGCCCTTTCCCGTGTTCCTGGTTGGGATCCCGTCCATCCCCATTGGAATCTCGCCCATCCCAACATCTCCCAGTCTGGATCCCGTCCATCCCAGTTTGGATCCCGCCCACCCCCACATTCCTGGTTTGGATCCCGCCCATCCCTGTATCTCCTGGTGCGCATCCCATCCATCCCAGTTTGGCTCCTGCCCATCCCCAACATCTCCCAGTTGGGATCCCATCCATTCCCACATCTCCCAGTTGGGATCCTGCCCATCCCCACATCTCCCAGTTGGGATCCCGTCCATCCCAACATCTCCCAGTTGGGATCCTGTCCATCCCAACATCTCCCAGTTGGGATCCCGTCCATCCCAGCATCTCCCAGTTGGGATCCCATCCATCCCAGTTGGGATCCCATCCATCCCAGTTGGGATCCCGTCCATTCCCACATCTCCAGGTTGGGATCCCGTCCATCCCAGTTGGGATCCTGTCCATCCCAGTTTGGATCCCGTCCATCCCAACATCTCCCAGTTTGTATCCTGTCCATTCCCACATCTCCAGGTTGGGATCCCGTCCATCCCAGTTGGGATCCCTCCCATCCCCTCATCTCCCAGTTGCGATCCCGTCCATCCCAACATCTCCCGCTGTGTCTCCCGCCCATTCCCACATTCCCGGTGTGTCTCCTGCCCGTTCCCTGGGTGTTTCCCTCCCATTCCCACATTCCTGGTGTGTTTCCCGCCTGTTCCCTCATTCCTGGGGTGTTTCCCTCCCGTTCCCTCATTCCCTCTGTGTCTCCCTCCCGTTCCCAGTGTGTCTCCTGTCTGTTCCCGCTGTGTCTCCCTCCCATTCCCACATTTCTGGTGTGTTTCCCGCCCATCCCCATGTTCCCACTGTGTCTCCCTCCCGTTCCTGCATTCCCGCTGTGTCTCCTGCCCATTCCCACTGTGCCTCCCGCCCATTTCCACATTCCCGCTGTGTCTCCCACCCATCCCAACATGTCCCACTGTGTTTCTCTCCCGTTCCCTCATTCCCGGGGTGTCTCCCGCCCATTCCCGCTGTGTCTCCCTCCCGTTCCCTCATTCCCGCTGTGTCTCCTGCCCATTCCCGCTGTGTCTCCCTCCCATTCCCACATTCCCGCCGTGTCTCCCTCCCACTCCCACATTCCTGGTGTGTCTCACACCCATTCCCATGTTTCCACTGTGTCTCCCGCCCGTTCCCACATTCCTGGTGTGTTTCCCGCCCATTCCCTCATTCCCGGGGTGTCTCCTGCCCATTCCCGGTGTGTCTCCCTCCTGTTCCCACATTCCCAGGGTGTTTCCCTCCCATTCCCACATTCCCGGGGTGCCTCCCACCTGTTCCCTCATTCCCACTGTGTCTCCCGCCTGTTCCCACATTCCTGGTGTGTCTCCCACCGTTCCCGCATTCCCGCTGTGTCTCCCTGCCGTTCCCTCATTCCCGCTGTGTTTCCCTCCCATTCCCACATGTCCCACTGTGTTTCTCTCCCGTTCCCTCATTCCCGGGGTGTCTCCTGCCCGTTCCCACTGTGTCTCCCTCCCGTTCCCGCATTCCCGCTGTGTCTCCCACCCATTCCCTTATTCCCACTTTGTCTCCCTGCCATTCCCACATTCCCACTGTGTCTCCCTCCCGTTTCCTCATTCCCGGGGTGCCTCCCTCCCGTTCCTGCATTCCTGGGGTGTCTCCCTCCCATCCCCATGTTCCCAGTGTGTCTCCCGCCCGTTCCCACATTCCCAGGGTGTTTCCCTCCCGTTCCCTCATTCCTGCTGTGTCTCCTGCCCATTCCTGCTGTGTCTCCTGCCCATTCCCACTGTGTCTCCCTCCCATTCCCTCATTCCCACTGTGTCTCCTCCCATTCCCACATTCCCGGGGTGCCTCCCGCCCATTCCCTCATTCCCGCTGTGTCTCCTGCCCATTCCCTCATTCCTGGGGTGTCTCCTTCCCATTCCCGCTGTGTCTCCCTCCTGTTCCCACATTCCCAGGGTGTTTCCCTCCTATTCCCACATTCCCACTGTGCCTCCCGCCCGTTCCCTCATTCCCACTGTGTCTCCCTCCCGTTCCCTCATTCCCGGTGTGTCTCCTGCCCATTCCCACATTCCAGGTGTGCCTCCCTCCCATTCCCACATTCCCGCTGTGTCTCCCTCCCGTTTCCTCATTCCCGGGGTGCCTCCCTCCCGTTCCTGCATTCCTGGGGTGTCTCCCACCCATCCCCATGTTCCCAGTGTGTCTCCCGCCCGTTCCCGGGGTGCCTCCCTCCCGTTCCCACATTCCTGGTGTGTCTCCCACCGTTCCCTCATTCCCGCTGTGTCTCCCTGCCGTTCCCTCATTCCTGGTGTGCCTCCCTCCCATTCCCGCTGTGTCTCCCTCCCGTTCCCACATTCCCGCTGTGTCTCCCTGCCGTTCCCGCTGTGTCTCCCTCCCATTCCCGCATTCCCGGTGTGTGTCCCTCCCATTCCCGCTGTGTGCGTCCCGGCGCGGTTCCCGGACCTTGGCGGCGGCCACGGCGCGGGGCGGCAGGTCGATGCGGGGGAAGGAGTACATGGCGCCCTGCACGGGGTTGCAGTGGATCCCGGGCGTGCGGTTGAAGATCTCCTCCGTCATCCGCGCCTTCTCCGCCAGCGCGCTCAGCACCGCCTCCTTCTCCTGCAGCCAGAAAAATGCACACGGGTCTGATCCAGGACGTCCCATTGTCCTGTTGTCCCATTGTCCTGTTATCCCATTGTCCCATTGTCCCATTGTCCCATTGTCCCATTGTCCCATTGTCCCATTGTCCCATTGTCCCATTATTCCATTATCCCATCTCATATTATCCCATCTCATCCATCCCAATTCCATTATCCTAATATCCCATCCCATTACCCCATTACCCCATTACCCCATTATCCCATCCCATCCCATTATCCCATCCCATCCCAATTCCATTATCCCATCCCATTGTCCCATTATCACATTACTCCATTATTCCATTATTCCATTACCCCATTATACCATTATCTCATCCCATCCCATCCCATCCCATCCCATTATCCCATCTCATCCCATTGTCCCTACTCATTATCCCATTATCCCATCCCATTGTCCCATTATCCCATTATCCCATTATTCCATTACCCCATTACCCCATTATCCCATTATCTCATCCCATCCCATCCCATTATCCCATCTCATCCCATCCCAATTCCATTATCCCATCCCATTGTCCCTATGCGTTATCCCATTATCTCATCCCATTACCCCATTATCCCATCCCATTGTTGCATTATCCCATTACCCCATTATCCCATTATCTCATCCCATCCCATTACCCCATTATCCCATTATCCCATCCCATCCCAATTCCATTATCCCATCCCATTGTCCCATCCCATTATCCCATCCCATTACCCCATTATCCCACCCCATTGTCGCATTATCCCATTACCCCATTATCCCATTACCTCAGTATCCCACTATCCCATCCCATCCCAATTCCATTATCCCATTATCCCATTACCACATTATCTCACCCAAAATAAATTCCATTCCACCCCATTCCGTTATCCCACCCCATTATCCCATTTTCCCATTACCACATTATCTATCCCATTATCCCATTATCCCGTTATCCCGTTATCCCGTTATCCCATCCCAATTCCATTCCATTCCATCCCTTCCCATCCCATTATCCCATTATCCCATTATCCCATTATCCCATTATCCCATTATCCCGTTATCCCATTATCCCATTATCCCGATTCTAATCCAATCCCATCCCGCTGCTCCGTACCACCTGGAAGGGCTCACAGGACAGGTTTGGGTGGATCCCATGACCATGGATCCCACCCCATGGATCCCACCCCATGGATCCCACCCCATGGATCCCAATCCCAATCCCGTGGCCCCGTACCGCCTGGAAGCGCTCGTAGGACGGCTCCCATCCCAATCCCATAGATCCCATCCCATCCCAACCCCAATCCTAAGGATTCCAATCCCATGGATCCCAATCCCATGGATCCCAATCCCGTGGCCCTGTACAGCCTGGAAGCGCTCGTAGGACGGCTCTCCGGGCTTGGGCGGGTCCATGACCATGGATCCCATCCCACCCCAATCCCAATCCCATGGATCCCAGTCCCGCGGCCCCGTACCGCCTGGAAGCGCTCATAGGACAGGTTTGGGCAGATCCATGACCATGGATCCCATCCCATGGACCCCATCCCATCCCAATCCCAATCCCAATCCCATGGATCCCAATCTCATGGATCCCATCTCAATCCCAATCTCATGGATCCCATCTCAATCCCAACCCCAATCCTGCAGCCCCATACCACCTGGAAGTGCTTGTAGGACAAGTTTGGGCAGATCCATGACCATGAGTCCCACCCCATGGATCACATCCCAATCCCAAACCCAATCCCAATCCCAACACCAATCCCAATCCCAAGGATCCCATCCCAATCCCATGGATCCCATCCCAATCCCATGGATCCCAATCCCACGGCCCCGTACCGCCTGGAAGTGCTCGTAGGACGGCTCTCCAGGCTTGGGCGGGTCCATGACCATGGATCCCATCCCATGGATCCCATCCCATCCCAATCCCAATGCCATCCCAATCACAATCCCAATCCCATGGATCCCAATCCCAATTCCATGGATCCCATCCCAATCCCAACCCCAACCCCAATCCGGGCATGGATCCCACCCAATGGATCCCATCCCAATCCCAACCCCAACTCCAATCCCAAGGATCCCAAGGATTCTGATCCCAATCCCATGGATCCCAATCCCATGGATCCCATCCCATCCCAATCCCAAGGATCCCAATCCCATGGATCCCAATCCCATGGATCCCAATCCCACCACCCCGTACCGCCTGGAAGCGCTCGTAGGACAAGTTTGGGCAGATCCATGACCATGGATCCCATCCCATGGACCCCATCCCATCCCAACCCCATGGATCCCAATCCCAATCCCATGGATCCCATCTCAATCCTAACCCCAATCTCATTCCAAATCCCATGGATCCCATCCCATGCATCCCATCCCAATCCCAATCCCAAGGATCCCATCTCAATCCCAAGGATCCCATCCCCAACCCCAATCCCGATCCCAAGGATCCCAATCCCATGGATTCCATCCCAATCGAAACCCCAATCCCAATCTGGGCATGAATCCCATCCCATGGATCCCATCCCAAACCCATCCCAAGGATCCCAATCCCATGGATCCCAGTCCCGCGGCCCCGTACCGCCTGGAAGCGCTCATAGGACGGCTCTCCAGGCTTGGGCGGGTCCATGACCATGGATCCCATCCCATGGATCCCATCCCATGGATCCCAATCCCATGGACCCCAATCCCATGGACCCTAATCCCAACCCCATGGATCCCAGTCTCGCGGCCCCGTACCGCCTGGAAGCGCTTGTAGGACGGCTCCCATCCCAATCCCATGGATCCCATCCCATCCCAAACCCAATCCCAAGGATTCCAATCCCATGGATCCCAACCCCATGGATCCCAATCCCATGGATCCCAGTCCCACGGCCCCGTACCGCCTGGAAGCGCTCGTAGGACGGCTCTCCGGGCTTGGGCGGGTCCATGACCATGGATCCCATCCCACCCCAATCCTAATCCTAATTCTTATCCCCATCCCATCCCAATCCCATGGATCCCAATCCCACCACCCCGTACTGCCTGGAAGCGCTTGTAGGACAGGTTTGGGCAGATCCATGACCATGGATCCCATCCCATGGACCCCATCCCATCCCAATCCCATGGATCCCAATCCCAACACCAATCCCAATCCCAAGGATCCCGATCCCAAGGATCCCGATCCCGCAGCCCCGTACCGCCTGGAAGCGCTCGTAGGACGGCTCTCTGGGCTTGGGTGGGTCCATGACCATGGATCCCATCCCATGGATCCCATCCCATCCCAATCCCAATCCCAATCCCATGGATCCCAATCCCAATTCCATGGATCCCATCCCATCCCAACCCCAATCCCAATCCCATGGATCCCAACCCCATGGATCCCAATCCCGCGGCCCCGTACCGCCTGGAAGCGCTCGTAGGACGGCTCCCATCCCCATCCCATGGATCCCATCTCAATCCCAACCCCAAGGATCCCCGTCCCGCGGCCCCGTACCGCCTGGAAGCGCTCGTAGGACGGCTCCCATCCCAATCCCATGGATCCCAACCCCATGGATCCCAACCCCATGGATCCCAATCCCACGGCCCCGTACCGCCTGGAAGCGCTCGTAGGACGGCTCCCATCCCAATCCCATGGATCCCATCCCAATCCCATGGATCCCAACCCCATGGATCCCAACCCCATGGATCCCAGTCCCACGGCCCCGTACCGCCTGGAAGCGCTCGTAGGACGGCTCCCATCCCAATCCCATGGATCCCATCCCAATCCCATGGATCCCAACCCCATGGATCCCAACCCCATGGATCCCAGTCCCGCGGCCCCGTACCGCCTGGAAGCGCTCGTAGGACGGCTCTCCGGGCTTGGGCGGGTCCACGATGGTGTCCAGGATCATCTGTCCGAGCACGGGCGGGCACAGACGGACGGACACGAGCTTGGAGAGCTCGGCCTTCACCTCGGGGTGCAGGTTCACCACCTCCATGTAGCCGCCCCGCAGGCCGCACCTGCGGGATCACACGCCGGGATCAGCCGGGAACGCCGGGAACGCCGGGAATGCCGGGAATGGGGACGGGGAACCGGGCGGTGGGAGATGGGGGTGGGAGCCATGGATGGGGTTTGGGATGGGATCCATGGATGGGAACCATGGATGGGAACCATTGGAGAGGCACCCATGGATGGGATCCCATGGATGGAGGTTTGGGATGGGATCCATGGATGGGAACCATGGGAGAGGCACCCATGGATGGGATCCCATGGATGGGATCCATGGGTGGGGTTTGGGATGGGATCCATGGATGGGAACCTATGGAGAGGCACCCATGGATGGGACCCATGGATGGGGTTTGGGATGGGATCCATGGATGGGAACCTATGGAGAGGCACCCATGGATGGGACCCATGGATGGGATCCATGGATGGGGTTTGGGATGGGATCCATGGATGGGAACCATTGGAGAGGCACCCATGGGTGGGATCCATGGATGGGAAACTATGGATGGGAACCATGGATGGGAACCATTGGAGAGGCAGCCATGGATGGGGATCCATGGATGGGAACCTATGGAGAGGCAGCCATGGATGGGATCCATGGATGGGAGCCATGGATGGGAACCATGGGAGAGGCACCCATGGATGGGATCCATGGATGGAGGTTTGGGAGGGGATCCCACCTGAGATACACCATGGGTGCCACACCATGGATCCACCCGAGATACACCATGGATGGGAACCATTGGAGAGGCACCCATGGGTGGGATCCATGGATGGGGTTTGGGATGGGATCCATGGATGGGAACCTATGGAGAGGCACCCATGGATGGGACCCATGGATGGGACCCATGGATGGGAACCATTGGAGAGGCACCCATGGACAGATCCATGGATGGGAAACTATGGAGAGGGACCGATGGGTGGGTTCCATGGATGGGAACCATTGGAGAGGCACCCATGGATGGGAACCTATGGAGAGGCACCCATGGGTGGGAGATGTGGGTGGGATTCGTGGGTGGGATTCACGGATGGGGTTTGGGATGGGATCCATGGATTGGAACCTATGGAGAAGGATCCATGGATGGGATCCATGGATGGGAATTTGGGATGGGATCCATGGATTGGAACCTATGGAGAGGCACCCATGGATGGGATCCATGGATGGGAACCTATGGAGAAGGACCCATGGATGGGAGATGTGGTTGGGATTCACAGGTGGGGTCCGTGGATGGGATCCATGGATGGGGATTTGGGGTGGGTTCCATGGATGGGAACCTATGGAGAGGCAGCCATGGATGGGATCCATGGAGAGGAACCTTTGGAAAGGACCCATGGATGGGATCCACGGATGGGAACCATTGGAGAGGCACCCATGGGTGGGAGATGTGGGTGGGATCTGTGGATAGAGAGCCATGGATGGGGGTTTGGGGTGGGAATCCATGGAGAAGCACCCATGGATGGGACCCATGGACAGGAATCTTTGGAGAAGCACCCATGGATGGGACCCATGGACAGGAATCTTTGGAGAGGCACCCATGGGTGGGATCCATGGATGGGATCCAGGGATGGGATCCAGGGATGGGATCCATGGATGGGAACCTATGGAGCAGGACCCACCCATGGGTGGGGCTCTGGGATGGGAATCCATGGATCAAACGTGGCGTCCATGGAACCTCAACATCTGCATCCAGTGCCACCCGCAGCCCCAGTCCAGGGGATCCATGGGGTGGTGGCACTTCCACCCTACATTGCCTCCATCCCTGCCCCAGCAGATCCATGGGGTGGTGGTGGCAGCCCCAATCCATGACCCCAACCCCAGCAGATCCATGGGGTGGTGGTGGCAGCCCCAATCCCACCATCAGAAAATCCGTGGGGTGGTGGTGACATCTCCATCCCCAATCCATGACATCCATGGCAATCCATGACCCTGACCCCAACCCCAGCAGATCCATGGGGTGGTGGCCTCTCCATCCCAAATCCCTGACATCCATGGCAATCCATGACTCCAATCCCAATTCCTGCAGATCCATGGGGTGGTGGCCTCTCCATCCCCAGTCCATGACTCCAACCCCAGCAGATCCATGGGGTGGTGGTGGCACCTCCATCCCAAATCCATCCCCAATCCATGACCCCAGTCCCAACCCCAGCAGGTCCATGGGGTGGTGGTGGCAGCCCCAATCCCACCACCAGAAAATCCATGGGGTGGTGACATCTCCATCCCCAATCCATGGCATCCATGGCAATCCATGACCCTGACCCCAACCCCAGCAGATCCATGGGGTGGTGGCCTCTCCATCCCCAATCCATGACATCCATGGCAATCCATGACTCCAACCCCAGTTCCTGCAGGTCCATGGGGTGGTGGCCTCTCCATCTCCCATCCATGACATCCATGGCAATCCATGACTCCGACCCCAACCCCAGGAGATCCATGGGGTGGTGACATCTCCATCCCCAGTCCATGGCATCCATGGCAATCCATGACTCCGACCCCAACCCCAGCAGATCCATGGGGTGATGGTGGCACCTCCATCCCCCATCCATGACCCCAGTCCCACCCCAGCAGATCCATGGGGTGATGGTGGCCTCTCCATCCCCAGTCCCACCCCAGCAGATCCATGGGGTGGTGGTGGCCTCTCCATCCCCAGTCCCACCCCAGCAGGTCCATGGGGTGCTGGTGGCACCTCCATCCCCAGTCCCACCCCAGCAGGTCCATGGGGTGGTGGTGGCCCGTCCATCCCCCCGGCGTTCCCAGCACTCACTCTCCCATGAATCCCTTGGAGATGGAGTGGAAGGAGGCCAGCTCCACCGAGTCCGCGTAGGGCGGCCCCAGCTCCATCAGGACCTTCTTGAAGGAGTGGAAGGCCGAGCCCTCGGCGTAGACGTTGTCCTGGTACACCTGGCGCGGGGACATCCCGGGACGTCACCGGGAATTCCCGGCTTTTCCCGGGAATGGGGGACGCGCCCAGGTCGCCTCGGCCCCGCCCACCTCATCGGCCAGCAGGAAGAGCTTCTCCTCGTAGGCGAACTTGATGACCTGCTCGATGCACTCGCGGCTCTGCACCTGGCCTGGGACAGCCGCCATAAACCATGGGTGCCACCCGGGATACACCATGGGTGCCACCCGAGATACACCATGGGTGCCACCCGACATACACCATGGGTGCCACCCGAGATACACCATGGGTGCCATCTGAGATACACCATGGGTCCCACCCGAGATACACCATGGGTGCCACCCGAGATACACCATGGGTCCCATGGATCCCACCTGAGATACACCATGGGTGCCACCACATGGATCCCACCCGAGATAAACCATGGGTGCCACTCCATGGATCCCATGGATCCCACCCGAGATACACCATGGGTGCCACCCCGTGGATCTCACCCGAGATACACCATGGGTCCCACACCATGGATCCCATGGGTGCCACCCAAGATACACCATGGGTGCCATCTGAGATACACCATGGGTGCCATGGATCCCACCTGAGATAAACCATGGGTGCCACCCGAGATACACCATGGGTCCCACCCGAGATACACCATGGGTGCCACCCCATGGGTGCCACCCAAGATACACCATGCCACCGAGATACACCATGGGTGCCACCTGAGATACACCATGGGTGCCACCCGAGATACACCATGGGTGCCACCCGGGATAAACCATGGGTGCCACCCGAGATACACCATGGGTGCCACCCCATGGATCCCACCTGAGATAGATACACCATGGGTGCCACACCATGGATCCCATGGATCCCACCCCACAGACCCCACAGCCCCACAGACCCCACAGCCCCACAGCCCCACAGCTGCACAGCCCCACAAACCCCACAAACCCCACAGCCCCACAGACCCCATGGCCCCACAGCCCCACAGCCCCCACAGCCCCACAGACCGAACCCCCCGTGTCCCACCCCACATCCCCACAAACCCCACAAACCCCACAGCCCCACATCCCCACAGCCCCACAGCCCCACAGACCCCACAAACCCCACATCCCCACAGCCCCACACACCCCACAGCCCCCACAGCCCCACAGTCCCCACATCCCCACAGCCCCACCCCCCGTGTCCCACCCACAGCCCCACAGCCCCACAGCCCCACAAACCCCACAAACCCCACAGCCCCACAAACCCCACGGCCCCACGGCCCCACAGCCCCACAGCCCCACAAACCCCACAGCCCCACAGCCCCACAGACCGAACCCCCCATGTCCCACAGCCCCACAGTCCCACAGCCCCACAGACCCACAAACCCCACCCCCCGTGTCCCACCCCACAGCCCCAGAGCCCCAGAGCCCCACAGCCCCACAGACCTCACAGACCCCAAAGACCCCACAGACCTCACAGACCCCACAGCCCCACAGCCCCACACACCCCACAGCCCCCACAGCCCCACAGACCCCACATCCCCACAGCCCCACAGACCCCATCCTCCGTGTCCAACCCCACAGCCCCATAACCCCCCACAGCCCCCCGGCCCCACGACCCCACAAACCCCACAAACCCCACATCCCCACAGCCTCACAGCCCCACAGACCGAACCCCCCGTGTCCCACGGCCCCACAGACCCCACAAACCCCACATCCCCACATCCCCACAGCCCCCACAGACCCCACAGCCCCCACAGCCCCACATCCCCACAACCCCCACAGCCCCACATCCCCACAGACCCCACATCCCCACAGCCCCACATCCCCACATCCCCCACAGCCCCACAGACCGAACCCCCCGTGTCCCACAGCCCCACAGCCCCACAGCCCCCACAAGCCCCACATCCCCAGACCTCACAAACCCCACATCCCCACAGCCCCCACAGACCCCACAGACCCCACCCCACAGCCCCACAAACCCCACAGACCCCACAGCCCCACAGACCCCACATCCCCACAGCCCCACATCCCCACATCCCCCACAGCCCCACAGACCGAACCCCCCGTGTCCCACAGCCCCACAGAACCCACAGCCCCACAGCCCCACAGACCGAACCCCCCGTGTCCCACAGCCCCACAACCCCACAAACCCCACAGCCCCACAGCCCCACAGCCCCCACAGACCCCACATCCCCACAGCCCCCACAGACACCACATCCCCACAGCCCCACAGACCAAACCCCCCGTGTCCCACAGCCCCACAGACCCCACAAACCCCACAGCCCCACAGACCCCACAGACCCCACAGACCCCACAGCCTCACAGACCCCACAAACCCCACAGACCCACAGCCCCACGGCCCCCCGGCCCCACATCCCCCCATCCCCACATCCCCACAACCCCCACAGCCCCACAAACCCCACAGCCCCACATCCCCACAACCCCCACACACCCCACAGCCCCCACAGCCCCACAGACCCCATCCTCCGTGTCCAACCCCACAGCCCCATAACCCCCACAGCCTCCCGGCCCCACGACCCCACAAACCCCACAAACCCCACAAACCCTACAGACCCCACAGCCCCACAGCCCCACAGACCCACATCCCCCACAGCCCCACAGACCGAACCCCCCGTGTCCCACAGCCCCATAGAACCCACAGCCCCACAGCCCCACAGACCGAACCCCCCGTGTCCCACGGCCCCACAGCCCCCACAGCCCCACAGCCCCACAGCCCCACAGACCCCACACCCCCACAGCCCCACAGCCCCACGGCCCCCCAACCCCACAGCCCCACAGACCCCACGGCCCCACAGCCCTACAGCCCCACAGACCCCACGGCCCCACAGCCCCACAGTCCCACAGACCCCACAGCCCCACAGACCGAACCCCCCATGTCCCACAGCCCCATAGTCCCACAGCCGCCACAGCCCCACGGCCCCCCGGCCCCACAGCCCCACATCCCCACAAACCCCACAGCCCCACAGCCCCACAGACCCCATGTCCCCACAAACCCCACAAACCCCACATCCCCCCATCCCCACAAACCCCACAAACCCCCCGGCCCCACGGCCCCGGCGTCCCCGCGGCGTTACCGGTGGGGTTGCCGGGGTTGATGATGCACAGCGCCCGGGGGTTGCAGCGCCGGCGGCCCTCGGCCAGCGCCCGCCGCAGCTCGGCCACGTCCAGCGCCCAGCAGCGCTCCTCGGCCAGGTAATAATTGACCTGCGCCGCCTCCAGCTCGGCCAGCGCCGCCGAGTACAGCGGGTACTGCGGGATCGGGATCAGCACCCCCGTGCGCGACGAGCCCGAGCCGCACACCAGCAGCTTCAGAATGTTCTGGGAGGGAGGGGACAGTCAGGGGGATGGGATGGGCACAGTCAGGGGACAGCCAGGGGACAGTCACGGGGTGGGGATCGGGACATGGAGGGGACATTGAGGGGACATTGAGGGGGCGGGGATCGGGACATGGAGGGGACAGAGAAGGGACAATCACAGGATGGGAATCAGGACATGGAGGGGACAGTAAGGGGACAGCCAGGGGACAGTCAGGGGTTGGGATCGGGACATGGACGGGACAACCAGGGGACAATCAGTGAGTGGGGATCGGGACATGGAGGGGACAATCAGGGGACAATCAGGGGGTGGGAATCGGGACATGGAGGGGACAGAGAAGGGACAATCCCGGGATGGGGATCGGGACATGGAGGGGACAGCGAGGGGACAATCAGGGGGCGGGATGGGGGACAACGAGGGGGCAGCACAGGGTTGGGATGGGGACATGGAGGGGACAATCAGGGGGACAGCCAGGGGACAGCCAGGGGACAGTGAGGGGACGGGGATCGGGACATGGAGGGGACAATCGGGGGACAGTCAGTGAGTGGGGATCAGGACATGGAGGGGACAGCAAGGGGACATTGAGGGGTCAGAGTGAGGTGGGAATCAGGACATGGAGGGGACAGCGAGGGGACAATCAGGGGGCTGGATGGGGGACAAGGAGGGGACATTGAGGGGACATTGAGGGGTCAGAGTGAGGTGGGAATCGGGACATGGAGGGGGACAGAGAAGGGACAATCACAGGATGGGAATTGGGACATGGAGGGGACAATCAGGGGACAATCAGGGGGCGGGATGGGCCACAGCGAGGGGGCAGCACCGCCGAGTACAGCGGGCACAGCCAGGGGACAATCAGGGGACAATCAGGGGACAGCCAGCAGGTAGGGATGGGGACATGGAGGGGACAATCGGGGGACAGTCAGTGAGTGGGGATCAGGACATGGAGGGGACAGAGAAGAGACAATCACAGGATGGGAATTGGGACATGGAGGGGACAGCAAGGGGACAATCAGGGGGTGGGATCATGACATGGAGGGCACAGCCAGGGGACATCCAGGGGACAATCAGGGGACAGCCAGGGGGTGGGATGGGGACATGGAGGGGACAATCGGGGGACAGTCAGGGGGTGGGGATTGGGACATGGAGGGGACAGCGAGGGGACAGCGAGGGGACAGCCAGGGGACAGTCACAGGGTGGGGATCGGGACATGGACGGGACAATCAGGGGACAGTCAGTGAGTAGGGATTGGGACATGGAGGGGACATTGAGGGGACATTGAGGGGTCAGAGTGGGGCGGGAATCGGGACATGGAGGGGACAGCGAGGGGACAATCAGGGGGCGGGATGGGGGACATGGAGGGGACAGCGAGGGGACATTGAGGGGTCAGAGTGGGGCGGGAATCGGGACATGGAGGGGGAAGCGAGGGAACGGAGAGGGGACAGAGAGGGGATGGGTTGAGGTGGGAATTGAGACATGGAGGGGACAGAGAGGGGACAATCACGGGATGGGGATCGGGACATGGAGGGGACAATCAGGGGACATCGAGGGGACAGTCAGTGAGTGGGGATCGGGACATGGAGGGGACATGGAGGGGACATTGAGGGGTCAGAGTGAGGTGGGAATTGAGACATGGAGGGGACAGTGAGGGGACAGTGAGGAGACAGAGTGGGGTGGGAATGAGGACATGGAGGGGGACAGAGAGGGGACAATCACAGGATGGGAATCGGGACATGGAGGGGACAGTGAGGGGACAATCACGGGATGGGAATCGGGACATGGAGGGGACAGTGAGGGGACAATGAGGGGACAGAGTGGGGTGGGAATCAGGACATGGAGAGGACATTGTGGGGACATGGTCGGGGTGGTCACGGTGACAATGAGGGGACATTGAGGGGACATGGTTGGGGTGGAGATCAGGAGATTGAGGGGACAATCAGGGGACAGTGAGGGGACAACCAGGGGATGGGTTGTGGTGGCAGTCAGGACATTGAGGGGACATTGAGGGGACATTGAGGGGACATTGAGGGGACAGTGAAGGGACAGGCTGGGGTGGGAATTAGGACATAGAGGGGACATTGTGGGGACAATCAGGGGATGGATTGTGGTGGCAGTCAGGACATTGAGGGGACATCACGGGGACATCACGGGGACAGGGTTGGCGTGGCCATGGGGACAGTGAGGGGACAGGATGGGGACAGGGTTTGGGTGGCCATGGGGACAATGAGGGGACATCACGGGGACAGGGTTGGCGTGGCCATGGGGACAATGAGGGGACAGTGAGGGGACAGGGTTGGGGTGACATGGGTACAGTGAGGGGACATCACGGGGACATGGTTGGGGTGACATGGGGACAATGAGGGGACAGGACAGTGAGCACAGGGGACAGCAGGGACAGCGGACAGGACGGTGGGGACAATGAGGGGACAGAGGAGCTCGGGGGGGGCACAGCCCGGGGACAACCGGACGGTGGCACACGAGGGACAGGGAGGTGACACGGTGCCACAACGGTGGCACACGAGGGACAGGGAGGTGACACGGCCGCGCTGTCCCCAGGGCAGCGCCACCATCGCCACGGCAACCACGCGGCCCCGGCGACACCGCGGGGAGCTGGCGCTGTCCCCAGGGCGGGCGTGGGGACACCGAGCGCCACCACCCCGAGCGCCACCGCCCCCTCCTCCAGCCACACAAAGGTCCCTTTGTCACCGCCCGCCGTGGGAACGGCCCGGGGGTGGCACCGAGCCCGGGGGGTGGCACCGAGCCCGGGGGGTGGCACCGAGCCCGGTGTCCCCGGGATGTGGCGGGATGGGGGTGGTGGCACCGCGCTCCGTGTCCCCGGGATGGGGGTGGTGGCATCGGTGTCCCGGGGACGTGGTGGGACAGGGGGATGGTGGCACCGGTGTCCCAGGGATGTCACGGGGGTGGCCCCGCGCTCCGTGTCCCCAGGGCGTGGCGGGACAGGGATGGTGGCACTGAGCCTGGTGTCCCCGGAATGTCACAGGGGTGGTGGCATCGGTGTCCCCGGGATGAGGCAGGACAGGGATGGTGGCACCGAGCCCGGTGTCCCCAGGATGTCACAGGGGTGGTGGCCCCGCGCTCGGTGTCCCAGGATGTCACGGGGGTGGCGGCCCCTGTCCCCTCGGTGTCCCCGGGATGTCACAGGGGTGGCGGCCCCTGTTCCCTCAGTGTCCCCGGGATGTCACGGGGGTGGCGGCCCCTGTCCCCTCGGTATGCCCGGGATGTCACGGGGGTGGTGGCCCCTGTCCCCTCGGTGTCCCTGGCATGTCACGGGGGTGGTGGCATTGGTGTCCCCGGGATGTCACGGGGGTGGTGGCCCCTGTCCCCTCGGTATCCCTGGGATGTGACGGGGGTGGTGGCATTGGTGTCCCCTCGGTGTCCCCGGGATGTCACGGGGGTGGCGGCCCCTGTCCCCTCGGTGTCCCCGGGATGTCACAGGGGTGGTGGCCCCTGTCCCCTCGGTGTCCCTGGCATGTCACGGGGGTGGTGGCATTGGTGTCCCCGGGATGTCACGGGGGTGGCGGCCCCTGTCCCCTCGGTGTCCCCGGGGCGTGGCGGGGCGGGGCAGGGGGTGGTGCCCGATGTCGCGCCCATGTCGCGCCCATGTCGCGCCCGTGTGGCGGCCGTACCACGATGGCGTCGCTGGCGCCCGTGGACAGGAAGATGTTGTCGGGCTGGGCGGGGACGCCGTCGCGGCGCTCGATGTAACGCGCCACGTCCTCGCGGACCAGCTGCACCCCGGGGCTGGCGCTGTACGCGCCTGGCGACAGCGGCGACAGCGACAATGTCACCCCCCCCCGCGCGGGGGGCACATGGGGACAGCGAGGGGGGTGGGGACACTGGGGGGCATTTGGGGGGCATTGGGGATGTTGGGGACATTGGGGGGGCATTGGGGGGCATCGGGGACATTGGGGAATGTTGGGGACATTGGGGAACATTGGGGACATTTGGGGACATTTGGGATAGTGGGGATATCGGGGGGATGTTGGGGACATTGGGGACGTGGGGGGGCATTTGGGGCATTGGGGGGCATTGGGGCATTGGGGACATCGGGGGACATTTGGGATGTTGGGGACATTGGGGACATTTGGGGATATTGGGAAATGGGGACATTGGGGACATTGGGGGACATTGGGGACATTTGGGGATATTGGGAAATGGGGACATTGGGGACATTGGGGGACATTGGGGACATTTGGGGATATTGGGAAATGGGGACATTGGGGACATTGGGGGACATTGGGGACATTTGGGGATATTGGGAAATGGGGACATTGGGGACATTGGGGGGATGTTTGGGATATTGGGGACACTGGGGATGTTGGGGACATTTGGGGCATTGGGGATATCGGGGGATGATGGGGATATTGGGGACATTGGGGGGATGTTGGGAAATGGGGACACTGGGGACATTGGGGACACTGGGGACATTCGGGACATCGGGGATATTTGGGACATTGGGGACATTGGGGGACATTGGGTGTACTGGGGGGCATTGGGGACATTGGGGACACTGGGAAGCATGGGGGACATTTGGGGCATTGGGGACATTGGGGATGTTGGGGACATTGGGGATAGTGGGGATATCGGGGGGATGTTGGGGACATTGGGGGGCACTGGGGGACATTTGGGACATTGGGGATATTTGGGACAGTGGGGACATTTGGGGGACATTGGGATGTTGGGGGGACATTGGAGATGTTGGGGACACTGGGGGGCCATTGGGGGACATCGGGGACATTGGGGGGCATTGGGAATATCGGGGGGATGTTGGGGACATCGGGGATGTTGGGGACATTTGGGGACATTTGGGAACGTTGGGAACATTGGGGATATTGGGAAATGGGGACACTGGGGACATTGGGGATATCGGGGGGATGTTGAGGACACTGGGGGCATTGGTGGCCATTGAGGACGTTGGGGACATTTGGGGACATTGGGGGCATTTGGGGACATTGCGGACAATGGGGACATTGGGAGACATTGGGGACACTGGGGGGTATTGGGAGCATTGGGGACATTGCGGGGAAATTGGGATATTGGGGACATTTGGGGATGTTGGGAAATGGGGACAGTGGGGACATTGGGGGACATTTGGGGCATTGGGGGGCATTGGGGCATTGGGGACATTGGGGGACATTGGGGGACATTGGGGACATTTGGGGATATTGGGAAATGGGGACATTGGGGACATTGGGGGGATGTTGGGGATATTGGGGACATTGGGGATGTTGGGGACATTGGGGATATCGGGGGGATGATGGGGACATTTGGGGACATTGGGGATGTTGGGGACATTGGGGGGCATTGGAGACACCGGGGGCGTTGGGGACATTGGGGGGCATTGGGGACATTGGGGATGTTGGGGACATTTGGGGACATTTGGGGCATTGGGGACATTGGGGGACATTGGGGGACATTTGGGGACATTTGGGATAGTGGGGATATCGGGGGGATGTTGGGGACATTGAGGGGCACTGGGGGACATTTGGGACATTGGGGATATTTGGGACAGTGGGGACATTGGGGGGCATCGGGGACATTGGGGGGATGTTGGGGATATTGGGACATTGGGGATGTTGGGGACATTGGGGGACATTGGGGGGCATTTGGGGATATCGGGGGGATGTTGGGGACATCGGGGATGTTGGGGATATTTGGGGACACTGGGGGGCATTGGGGGACATTGGGGACATTGGGGGGCATTGGGGATATCGAGGGGATATTGGGGACATTGGGGATGTTGGGGACATTTGGGGACGTTGGGAACATTGGGGATGTTGGGAAATGGGGACACTGGGGACATTGGGGACACTGGGGGGGTATTGGGAGCACTGGGGACATTGCAGGGACATTGGGGACATTGGGGATGTTGGGAAATGGGGACACTGGAGATATTTGGGGACATTGCGGGGACATTGGGATATTGGGGGGATGTCTGGGACATTGGGGACACTGGGGACAGCCACACTGTCACCTCCCCCCGAGTGGTGGCACCTCAGCGGGTGCTGCGGACATCGTTGAGGGGACACTGGGGACACTGGGGGGACATCGGGGATGTTGGGGACATTGGGGGGCATTGGGGACTTTGGGGACATTGGGAAATGTGGACACTGGGGACATTGGAGACAATGGGGACACTGGGGAGCATTGGGGGACATTTGGGGCATTGGGGACACTGGGGATGTTGGGGACATTTGGGGACATTGGGGATGTTGGGGACATTGGGGACATTGGGGATATCGGGGGGGGATAATGGGGATATCGGGGACATTGGGGACATTTGGGGACATTTGGGGACATTTGGGGATGTTGGGAAATGGGGACACTGGGGGGCATTGGGAGCACTGGGGACATTGCGGAGACATTGGGGACACTGGGGACACTGGGGAGCATTGGGGGACATTTGGGGCATTGGGGACACTGGGGGACATTTGGGGGCATTGGGGGCATTGGGGATGTTGGGGACATTTGGGGACATTGGGGACATTCCAGGGGTGGGGGATGGGTGGAGTTGGGCGCTGGATTTGGGATTTTGGGGCTTGCGGGATTTTGGAATTTGGGGATTTTGGGGTTTCTGGGATTTGGGGATTTGGTCCTTGGGGGATTTTGGGATTTGGGGTTTTTGGGGTTTCTTGGATTTGGGGATTTTGGAATTTGGGGATTTTGGGATGTTGGGATTTTGGGATGTTGGGGTTTGTGGGATTTTGGGATTTTGGGGTTTGGGGATGTTGGATTTGGAGGCTTGTGGGATTTAGGGATTTGGGATTTAGGGATTTTGGGACTTGGGGTTTTTTTGGGGTTTTGGGGTTTTGGGATTTTTGTGGGGTTTTGGGGATTTGGGGGTTTGGGATTTGGGGATTTTGGGATTTGGGGATTTTGGGATTTTGGGGTTTGGGATTTTGGGGTTTTGGGATTTTGGGGTTTTGGAATTTGGGATTTTGGGGTTTGGGATTTTGGGATTTTGGGGTTTGGGTTTTTTTTGGGGATTTGGGGATTCGGGCGCCACCCACCCACGCTCTGTCCCCCGCAGGCCCCCAGCAGGCGCTGGGTGCTCCTTGGGATTTGGGGATTTTTGTGGGGTTTTGGGGATTTTGGGGCTTGGGATTTTGGGATTTGGGGATTTTGGGCTCTGTTTGGTTTGGGATTTTGGGATGTTGGGGTTTGGGATTTTGGGATTTTGGGATTTTGGGATTTTGGGGTCTGTTTGGATTGGGATTTTGGGATTTTTGGGATTTTGGGGTTTTTTGGGGTGGCACCCACCCACGCTCTGTCCCCCGCAGGCCCCCAGCAGGCGCTGGGCGCGCTCCTTGGGAATTTGGGATTTTGGGATTTGGGGATTTTGAGCTCTGTTTGGTTTGGGATTTTGGGGATTTTGGGATTTGGGATTTTGGGGTTTTTTGGGGTGGCACCCACCCACGCTCTGTCCCCCGCAGGCCCCCAGCAGGCGCTGGGCACTCCTTGGGATTTGGGGATTTTGGGATTTAGGGCTCTGTTTGGTTTGGGATTTGGGGTCTGTTTGGTTTGGGATTTTGGGGATTTTGGAGTTTGGGATTTAGGGATTTTGGGATTTTTTGGGGTTTTTGGGGTTTTTTGGGGTGGCACCCACCCACGCTCTGTCCCCCGCAGGCCCCCAGCAGGCGCTGCGCGCGCTCCTTGGGATTTTGGGGATTTTGGGGTTTGGGATTTTGGGGATTTTGGGATTTGGGATTTTGGGGTTTGGGATTTTGGGGATTTTGGGATTTGGGATTTTGGGGTTTGGGATTTTGGGATTTGTTTGGTTTGGGATTTTGGGATTTTGGGTTTTTTGGGGTGCCACCCACCCACGCTCTGTCCCCCGCAGGCCCCCAGCAGGCGCTGGGCGCTCCTTGGGATTTGGGGATTTTTGTGGGGTTTTGGGGATTTGGGGATTTTGGGATTTTGGGGGTTGGGATTTTGGGATTTTTTGGGGATTTTGGGGTTTTTTGGGTTTTTTGGGATTTTTGGGTTTTTTGGGGTGTCACCCACCCACGCTCTGTCCCCCGCAGGCCCCCAGCAGGCGCTGCGCGCGCTCCTTGGGATTTGGGGATTTTGGGATTTTGCGATTTTGGGATTTGGGATTTGGGATTTTGGGGTTTTGGGGATTTTGGGATTTTGGGGTTTTTTGGGGTGGCACCCACCCACGCTCTGTCCCCCGCAGGCCCCCAGCAGGCGCTGCGCGCGCTCCTTGGCGTCGCTGGGCAGGGACTCGTCCTTCATCAGCTCCGGGCACAGGCACAGCGCCGCCACCTGCCCGGGGACACCGCGGTGACACCGGGGACACGCTGGGGACACCGGGGCCGTGGAGGTGGCGGTGGCACCCCGGGGGTGACCCCGCGGTGACCCCGGGGCCGCACCTGGCGCAGGAAGGTGATTGGCTGCTGGCCCATGGCGTGGGCGTCACCGATGTTGGCCTTGATCACCTCCGAGAAGGGCTTGGGGACACCCTGGGGACAAAGGGACAGCCATGAGGGGATGGCGATGGGGACACCCTGGGGACAAAGGGACAGCAATGAAGGGACAGCCTGGGGACAAAGGGACAGCCATGAGGGGATGGCGATGGGGACACCCTGGGGACAAAGGGACAGACATGAGGGGACACAGGTGGGGACACCCTGGGGACAAACAAAGGGACAGCCATGAGGGGATGGCAATGGGGACAAAGGGACAGCCATGAGGGGACAGCGATGGGGACACCCTGGGGACAAAGGGACAGCAATGAGGGGATGGCAATGGGGACAAAGGGACAGCCATGAGGGGATGGCGATGGGGACACCCTGGGGACAAAGGGACAGCAATGAAGGGACAGCCTGGGGACAAAGGGACAGCCATGAGGGGATGGCGATGGGGACACCCTGGGGACAAAGGGACAGCCATGAGGGGATGGCAATGGGGACACCCTGGGGACAAAGGGATGAGGGGACAGGGGCAGGGAGGAGGGGACGGTGGGGACACAGGTGGGGACAAGGGGACAGGGATGGGGATGGGGACAAGAGATGAGGGGACAGGGATGGGGACAGTGGGGACAAGGATGGGGAAAAGGCACAGGGACAGGGGACAGGGACAGCAGGGATGGGGATGGGGACAGGGACAAGGGCAGGAACGGGGACAGGGACAAAGGGGACAGGGACGGGAATAGGGACAGGGACAAGGGACAGGGACAAGGACAAGGACAGGGATGGGGACAGGAACAGGGACAGGGATGGGGACAGGGATGGGGACAGGGACAAAGGGGACAGGGATGGGAATAGGAACAGGGACAGGGGACAGGAACAGGGACAGGGGACAGGAACAAGGACAGGAATGGGGACAGGGATGGGGACAGGGATGGGGACAGGGATGGGAATAGGAACAGGGACAGGGGACAGGAACAGGGACAAGGGACAAGGGACAGGGACAAGGACAGGAACGGGGACAGGGATGGGGACAGGGATGGGGACAGGGACAAGGACAGGGACAAGGACAGGAACGGGGACAGGGACAGGGGACAGGAACGGGGACAGGGATGGGGACAGGGATGGGGACAGGGATGGGGACAGGGACAAGGACAGGAACGGGGACAGGGACGGGGACAAAACCAGGTCAGGGCTCCTGTCCCCACCCAGGGCCACCCCTGCTGTCACCACCCCCGTAATGTCCCCTGTCCTGGGAGTGGCCGCAGCCTCGGGGACACCGGGGACACCGGGGACATTGGGGACACCGGGGACACCGGGGACACTGGGGACATTGGGGACATTGGGGACATCGGGGACACCGGGGACACCGGGGACACCGGGGACATTGGGGACATTGGGGACATTGGGGACACCGGGGACATTGGGGACATTGGGGACCTTGGGGACACCGGGGACACCGGGGACATTGGGGACACTGGGGACATTGGGGACCTTGGGGACATTGGGGACACCGGGGACATTGGGGACATTGGGGACACCGGGGACATTGGGGACCTTGGGGACATTGGGGACATTGGGGACATTGGGGACATTGGGGACATTGGGGACCTTGGGGACATTGGGGACATTGGGGACACCGGGGACATTGGGGACATTGGGGACATTGGGGACATTGGGGACCTTGGGGACACGGGGCAGGGCGGCAGCGATGTCCCCACCCCCGCTCGGGCCGGACTTTGGCCACCGCGGACTCTGCCCCGGGTGGCACCGCCCCGATTGCGTCACCCGCGGTGTCACCCGTGTCACCTGTGTCACCCGTGTCACCCGTGCCACCCACAGTGTCACCCACAGTGTCACCCGTGTCACCCGCGGTGTCCCCGGCTGACCCCGGCACCGCCCAGTGTCATCAGGGGAGGGGACACTGAGGGGACATTGGGGGACACTGGGGGACACTGAGAGGACATTGAGGTGACAGAGGGGGGACATTGGGGGGACACGGGGGGGACATTGGGGGACATTGGGGGACATTGAGGGGACACTGGGGGGACATTGAGGGGACACTGGGGGACACTGGGGGACATTGAGGGACACTGGGGGGACATTGAGGGACATTGAGGGACACTGGGGGACATTGGGGGACACTGAGGGGACATTGAGGGGACATTGAGGGGACATTGAGGGGACACTGGGGGGACACTGAGGGGACATTGAGGGGACATTGGGGGACATTGGGGGACATTGGGGGGACATTGAGGGACATTGGGGGGACACTGAGGGGACATTGGGGGACATTGGGGGACATTGAGGGGACACTGGGGGGACATTGAGGGGACATTGAGGGGACATTGGGGGACACGGGGGGGGGGGTGGGGACACCCTGGTTTAGGGGGGTCCCGGAATTTTGGGGGTGCCCTGGGGGTAAAAAACGTTTTTTGGGGGGAAAATCGGGGTTTTGTGGGGGGAAAAATCCTTTTTTTGGGGGGAAAAATTCCATTTTTTGGGAAAAAAAAAATCCCATTTTTTGGGGAACAAAATCCCATTTTTGGGGAAAAAAAACCCCCATTTTTGCGGGGATAAAAAGTCCCTTTTTTGAGGAAAAAATCCCATTTTTGGGGGGATAAAAAGTCCCTTTTTTGGGGGAAAAAATCCCATTTTTTTGGGGAAAAAACTCCATTTTTGAGGGGAAAAAAAGATCCCATTTTTGGCGGGATAAAAATTCCCCTTTTTTTGGGGAAAAAACCCCTTTTTTGCAGGCAGAAAATCCCCCTTTTTGGGGGGAAAAATTACTTTTTTGGAGGGGGCATGAAACCCCTTTTTTTGGGGGAAAATTTCCATTTTTTGGGCAAAAAAATCCCATTTTTTGGGGGGAAAAAAATCCCTTTTTTGAGGGAAAACTCCATTTTTTGGGGGGGATTAAATCCCATTTTTGGGGGGATAAAACCCCTTTTTTGGGGAGATAAAAATTCCATTTTTTGGGGAAAAAAATCCCATTTTTGGGGGGGAAAATTCCTTTTTTTTGGGAAAAAAAAATCCCATTTTTGGGGGGGGAAAAATCTCATTTTTTGGGGAAAAAAATCCCATTTTTGGGGGGATAAACCCCCTTTTTTGGGGAGATAAAAATTCCATTTTTTGGGAAAAAAATCCCATTTTTTGGAGAAAAAAATCCCTTTTTTGGGGAAAAAAAATCCCATTTTTTGAGGGAAAACTCCATTTTTGGGGGGGGGATTTAATCCCATTTTTGGGGGTGAACCCCCCATTTTTGGGGCGGGAGGGGCCAAGTTTGGGGTGCCCCATTTGGCGGGGGCGGGGGCAGGGAGGGAAACCCGGGATTGGGGGGTCCCGAATTTGGGGTTTGGGGGGGGGGGGGTCCCGATTTTGGGGTTTGGGGGGGGGGGGTCCCGAATTTGGGGTTTGGGGGGGTCCCGAATTTGGGGGGTCCCGAATTTGGGGTTTGGGGGGGGGGGGTCCCGATTTTGGGGTCTGGGGGGTCCCGAATTTGGGGGGTCCCGATTTTGGGGTTTGGGGGTCCCGATTTTGGGGTCTGGGGGGTCCCGAATTTGGGGGGGTCCCGATTTTGGGGTTTGGGGGGTCCCGATTTTGGGAGGGTCCCGAATTTGGGGTTGGAGGGTCCCGAATTTGGGGGGTCCCAATTTGGGGTTGGAGGGTCCCGATTTTGGGGGGGTCCCGAATTTGGGGTTTGGGGGGGATCCCGATTTTGGGGTTGGGGGGGGTCCCGATTTTTGGGGGTCCCGATTTTGGGACGTCCCGATTTGGGGTTTGGGGGGGGGTCCCTATTTTGGGGTTTGGGGGGGGTCTCAATTTTGGGGGGGGGGTCCCGATTTGGGGTTGGGGGGTCCCGATTTTGGGGGGTGGGTCCCGATTTTGGGAGGTCCCGATTTGGGGTCGGGGGTCCCGAATTTGGGGAGGGTCCCGATTTTGGGGTTTGGGGGGGGGTCCCGATTTTGGGGTTGGGGGGGTCCCGATTTTGGGATTTTTGGGGGGTCCCGATTTTGGGGTTGGAGGGTCCCGATTTTGGGGGGGTCCCGATTTTGGGGTTGGGGGGTCCCGATTTTGGGATTTTTGGGGGTCCCAATTTGGGGTTGGAGGGTCCCGATTTTGGGGGGGTCCCGATTTTGGGGTTTGGGGGGTCCCGATTTTGGGGGGGTCCCGAATTTGGGGTTGGGGGGGATCCCGATTTTGGGGGGTGGGTCCCGATTTTGGGAGGTCCCGATTTGGGGTCGGGGGTCCCGAATTTGGGGTGGGGTTCCGATTTTGGGTTGGGGGGGTCCCGATTTTGGGGTTTGGGAGGTCCCGATTTTGGGGTTGGCGGGTCCCGATTTTGGGGGGATCCCGATTTTGGGTTGGGGGGGGTCCCGATTTTGGGATTTTTGCGGGGTCCCGAATTTGGGGTTTGGTAGGGTCCCGAATTTGGGGCTGGAGGGTCCCGAATTTGGGGGGTCCCGAATTTGGGGTTTGGGGGGTCCCGATTTTGGGGGGGGTCCCGATTTTGGGAGGTCCCGATTTGGGGTCGGGGGGTCCCGAATTTGGCGGGGGGGTCCCGATTTTGGGGTTTGGGAGGGTCCCGATTTTTGGGGGTCCCGATTTTGGGAGGTCCCGAATTTGGGGTTGGAGGGTCCCGAATTTGGGGGGGTCCCGATTTTGGGGTTGAGGGGGGGGTCCCGATTTTGGGATTTTTGGGGGGGATCCCGATTTTGGGGTTGGGGGGGTCCGGAATTTGGGGTTTGAGGGATCCCGATTTGGGGGGGGGTCCCGATTTTGGGGGGGTCCCGATTTTGGGGTTTGGGGGGGGTCCCGATTTTGGGGGGTGGGTCCCGATTTTGGGAGGTCCCGATTTGGGGTCGGGGGTCCCGATTAGGGTTGGGGGGTCCCGATTTTGGGGAATTTTCTCCATTTTGGGGAGAATTCCCGGGTTTGGGAAGGAAGTCCCGGTTTTGGGGGGCTTATCCCGGTTCTGGGGGGGTTATCCCGGTTCAGTGGGGTTATCCCGGTTCTGGGGGGTTATCCCGGTTCCGGGGGAGTTATCCCGGTTTGGGGGGAGTTATCCCGGTTTTAGGGGGGATATCCCGGTCCAGTGGGGTTATCCCGGTTTTAGGGGGGTTATCCCGGTTTTAGGGGGGTTATCCCGGTTTGGGGTCGGGATATCCCGGTTTTAGGGGGGGTTATCCCGGTTTAGGGGGGTTTATCCCGGTTCTAGGGGGGGTTATCCCGGTTCTGGGGGGGTTATCCCGGTTTTAGGGGGGTTATCCCGGTTTAGGGGCGGGATCTCCCGGTCCCGGACTGGCTGCCCCCGTTCTTGGGGACATTTCCTGGTCCAGCACGGGCTGTCCCGGTTTTTAGGGGCATTTCCCGGTCTAGGACTGAGTGTCCCGGTTCTTGGGGGCATTTCCCGCTCCCCTGTCCCGGTTTTTGGGGCAATTCCCGCTCCCCTGTCCCGGTTTTTGGGGGCATTTCCCGGTTTTTGGGGCATTTCCCGCTCCCCTGTCCCGGTTCTTGGGGCATTTCCCGCTCCCCTGTCCCGGTTTTTGGGGGCATTTCCCGGTTTTTGGGGCATTTCCCGGTTTTTGGGGTCATTTCCCGGTTTTTGGGGACATTTCCCGCTCCCCTGTCCCGGTTTTGGGGTCATTTCCCGCTCCCCTGTCCCGGTTTTTGGGGACATTTCCCGCTCCCCTGTCCCGGTTTTTTGGGGGCATTTCCCGGTTTTTGGGGCATTTCCCGCTCCCCTGTCCCGGTTTTTGGGGGCATTTCCCGGTTTTTGGGGCATTTCCCGGTTTTTGGGACATTTCCCGCTCCCCTGTCCCGGTTTTTAGGGGCATTTCCCGGTTTTTAGGGGCATTTCCCGCTCCCCTGTCCCGGTTTTTGGGGTCATTTCCCGGTTTTTGGGGCATTTCCCGCTCCCCTGTCCCGGTTTTTGGGGTCATTTCCCGGTTTTTGGGGGCATTTCCCGCTCCCCTGTCCCGGTTTTTGGGGGCATTTCCCGGTTTTTGGGGCATTTCCCGGTTTTTGGGGCATTTCCCGGTTTTTGGGGGCATTTCCCGGTTTTTGGGGTCATTTCCCGGTTTTTTGGGACATTTCCCGCTCCCCTGTCCCCTTCTCCCCGCTCCGCTCGCTCCCGTTCCCCGGGCTCCGGCCCCATTTCCCCCCCGCCTTGTCCCGCCCCGCTCGGGTTTTGCCCCGCTCGGGTTTTTGCCCCTCTCCCCTCGGGTTTTGCCCCTCTCCCCTCGGGTTTTGCCCCTCTCCACTCGGGTTTTGCCCCTCTCCGCTCAGGTTTTGCCCCTCTCCGCTCGGGTTTTGCCCCCTCGGGTTTTGCCCCGCTCCGCTCGGCTTTTGCCCCTCTCCGCTCGGTTTTTGCCCCTCTCCCCTCGGTTTTTGCCCCTCTCCGCTCGGGTTTTTGCCCCTCTCCGCTCGGGTTTTTATCCCACCCCCCGCTCGGGTTTTGCCCCCTCGGGTTTTGCCCCACCCCGCTCGGGTTTTGCCCCGCTCGGGTTTTGCCCCTCTCCATTCGGTTTTTGCCCCGCTCGGGTTTTTGCCCCTCTCCGCTCGGGTTTCTGCCCCGCTCCGCTCGGGTTTTGCCCCTCTCCGCTCGGGTTTTGCCCCCCTCGGGTTTTTGCCCCTCTCCGTTCAGGTTTTGCCCCGCTCCGCTCGGGTTTTTCTCCCCTCGGGTTTTGCCCCTCTCCGCTCGGGCTTTGCCCCCCTCGGGTTTTTGCCCCTCTCCACTCGTGTTCTGCCCCTCTCCGCTCGGGTTTTGCCCCTCTCCGCTCGGGTTTTGCCCCAGCCCGCTTGGGTTTTGCCCCGCTCGGGTTTTTGCCCCTCTCCCCTCGGGTTTTGCCCCTCTCCGCTCGGGATTTTGCCCCTCTCCCCTCGGTTTTTACCCCAGCCCGCTCGGGTTTTTGCCCCTCTCCGTTCAGGTTTTGCCCCTCTCCGCTCGAGTTTTTGCCCCGCTCGGGTTTTTGCCCCTCTCCCCTCGGGTTTTGCCCCTCTCCGCTCGGCTTTTGCCCCGCTCCGGTTTTTGCCCCTCTCCGCTCGGGTTTTGCCCCGCTCAGGTTTTATCCCGGGTAATTTTTGGCTACTTCTGGGCAGTTTTTTCCTTTTAGTCCCGGTACCTTGCGCAGCTCCTGCTCGATCTCCATGGCGCGGATGACGATGGGGCCGCGCACCGCGTACTCCACGCGCCGAACCGCGGGGTTCATGGACTCGGGGGTCAGCACCGGGCCCCGCCGCGCCCCCGCCGACCCCGCGGCCGCCGCCGCCGCCGCCGCCGCCATCGCCAGGAGCCTGCGGGGCCGCAGCGCCCTCAGCGCCCGCATCACCCCCGGCGACACGGCGGGACAGCCGCGACACCGCCCCCGGGACAGCGGGGAGGGACCGGGACAACCCGGGATAATCGCGACACCGCCCCCGGGGCAGCGGGGAGGGACCGGGACAAGCCGGGACAATCGGGGAGGGACCGGGGGGACAGCCCGGGATAATCGGGGAGGGACCGGGGGACAGCGGGACAATCGCGACACCCGCCCCCGGGACAGCGGGGAGGGACCGGGACAAGCCGGGACAATCGGGGAGGGACCAGGACAACTCGGGATAATCGCGACACCGCCCCCGGGGCAATGGGGAGGGATCGGGACAACCCGGGACAATCGGGGAGGGACCAGGACAACCCGGGACAATCGCGACAGCGCCCCCGGGGCAGCGGGGAGGGACCGGGGACAACCCGGGACAATCGGGGAGGGACCGGGACAACCCGGGACAATCGCGACAGCGCTCCTGGGGCAATGGGGAGGGACGGGATGGGGGCGACACCGCCCCGGCACCCCCGGGGCCGCCCCCGGTAACCCCGAAAGTTCCCCCCGGGCGCTCCCTGGGCCGGGGCAGCGACGGCAACGGGCGGCAACGGCAACGGGCAAAGGGCAACGGGCACCGGGGCGGGACCGCGCACGGGACAGAGAGCGGCAACCGGCCCGGGGCAACAACGGGCACCGGGGGCAATGGGCACGGGGCAACGGGCACCGGGGGGCAATGGGCACCGGGGGGGCAATGGGCACGGGACAACGGGCGCCGGGGGAGGGGACAGCGGGGACACGGGGACAGCGGGGACAAACGGGGACAAACAGGGATGGGGACACCGGGAATGGGGACAAACAGGGAATGGGGACAAACAGGGAAGGGGGTGCCGGGAAGGGGACACCGGGAACGGGGACAAACAGGGATGGGGACACCGGGAATGGGGACAAACAGGGAATGGGGACAAACAGGGAAGGGGGTGCCGGGAAGGGGACACCGGGAACGGGGACAAACAGGGGATGGGGACACCGGGAATGGGGACAAACAGGGAATGGGGACAAACAGGAATGGGGACAAACAGGGAAGGGGGTGCCGGGAATGGGACACCGGGATGGGGCCACCGGGAATGGGAGTGGCACCGGGGAACGGGGACAAACAGGGAAAGGGACACCGGGAATGGGGACAAACAGGAATGGGGATATCGGGATGGGGACACCGGGAATGGGACACCGGGAATGGGAGTGGCACCAGCACCGGGCACGGCACAGGGAAGGGGACACCGGGAACGGGACACCGGAATGGGGACAAACAGGGATGGGGACACCGGGAATGGGGCTGGGGACAGCTGGAATGGGGTGGCACCGGGAAGGGGACACCAGGATGGGGACACCGGGAACGGGACTGGCACCGGCACCAGGGACAGATGGCACCGGCACCGGGCACGGGGATGGCACAGGGAAAGGGACACGGGAACGGGGACAAACAGGGATGGGACAAACAGGGATGGGACTGGCACCGGCACCGGGGACAGGTGGCACGGGGCGGGCACAGGGAAGGGACACCGGGATGGGGACACCGGAATGGGGACACCGGGAACGGGACTGACACCGGGAATGGGGCACCGGGAACGGGACTGGCACCAGGGACAGCTGGCACGGGGAGGGGACACCGGGATGGGGACAAACAGGGATGGGGACATCGGGAACGGGAGTGGCACGGCACCGGGGACACCGGGAAGGGGACACTGGGACCGGGCACGTGGCACAGCAGGGACAGGGGTGGCACCGGGACACAGGGACAGGGACAGGGACACAGGGACAGGGGTGGCATCGGGACACAGGGACAGGGACACAGGGTCAGGGACAGGAGTGGCACAGCAGGGACAGGGACACAGGGACAAGGGGCACAGCAGGGACAGGGGTGGCACCGGGACACAGGGACAGGGACACCGTGAGCGGGGGTGGCACCGGCAACGGGCACGTGGCAGCGGGGACAGCGGGGACAGCGGGGACAGAGGGCACGGGGACAGGGGTGGCACCGGCAATGGGCACGTGGCAGCGGGGACAGAGGGCACGGGGGTGGCACCGGGACACTGGGAAAGGGGTGGCACCGGCGACAACGGGCACAGGGAACGAGGGTGGCACTGGGGACACTGGAAAGGGGTGGCACCGGCGACAACGGGCACAGGGCACGGGGGTGGCATTGGGGACACTGGGAAAGGGGTGGCACTGGTGACAACGGGCACAGGGCACGGGGGTGGCACCGGGACACTGGGAATCGCGGGGTGGCACTGGTGACAGTGGGACAGGGGGTGGCACGGGGCAGGGGACAACTGGCACGGGGGTGGCACTGGTGACAACGGGCACAGGGCACGGGGGTGGCACTGGTGACAGTGGGACAGGGGGTGGCACGGGGGGTGGCACCGGGGACAGCGGGACAGGGGTGGCACCGGGCAGGGGACAGCGGAACAGGGGGGTGGCACTGGTGACAGTGGGACAGGGGTGGCACCGGGCACGGGGGTGGCACAGGTGACAACGGGCACCCGGCACTGGTGACAGTGGGACAGGGGTGGCACCGGGCACTGGTGACAGCGGGACAGGGGTGGCACCGGGCACGGGGGTGGCACTGGTGACAACGGGCACCGGGCACTGGTGACAGTGGCACGGGGGTGGCACCGGGCCAGCGCCACCGCCCGGGTTGGCGACACGAGGGTGGCGAGGGAGGGGGGGATGCGGGAATTTGGGGACCCCAGACCCCCCCCCCCCCCCGGTCCCCAATGTCCCCAAATTGTCCCCAATTGTCCCCAATTCCCCGCTCACATCGCCCCCCAGCGGCTCCAACCGCCGCGCCCGCGCTGGCCACGCCCCCCCGCCAGCTGTCAATCAGGGGATGCCACGCCCCACTCGGAGCTGATTGGATGAGGGCGAAGGGGGCGTGGCCGGGAGAGTCCAAAATGCGGCCGGGGGGGGGGGGGGGAACCGCGCTCCCCCCCCCCTTTTTTGGGGGGTCCGGATGGATTCGCCCGTTTGGGATCCAATGGGGGGACCCCAAAGGGAACCCCAAAATTCGGGATTCCACAAAACCACAAAATCAGGGACCCCATAGAGACACCCCAAATTTAGGGGACCCCACAGAACCCCCAAAATCAGGGACCCCATAGAAACCCCCCAAAATTAGGGGACCCCATAGAACCCCCCCAAAATTAGGGACCCCATAGACCACCCCCAAATTTAGGGATCCTATGATCCCCATAATTGGGGGTCCCTACAGACCCCCCCCAAAATTAAGGGACCTCATAGACCCCACCCAATTTGGGACCCCATAAATCCCCCATCAGAGACCCGATAAATCCCATTTCCCCCCCAAATTCCCCCATTTAGGATCCTCCAAAATGAGAAAAAACCAAATCCCATTTTCACCCAAATTCCCCATTTAGGATCCCCCAAATTCCCCATTTAGGATCCCCCAAATTCCCCCATTTTCCCCCAAATTCCCCATTTAGGATCCCCCAAATTCCCCCATTTCCCCCCCAAATTCCCCATTTAGGATCCCCCAAATTCCCCCAAATTCCCCCATTTCCACCCCAAATTCCCCATTTAGGATCCCCCAAATTCCACCCCAAATTCCCCCTTTAGGATCCCCCAATTTTCCCATTTAGGATCCCCCAAATTCCCCCATTTCCACCCCAAATTACCCATTGAGGATCCTCCAAATTCCCCTTTTAGGATCCCCCCAATTTCCCCCAAATTCCCCATTTCCCCCCCAAATTCCCCATTTAGGATCCCCCAATTTCCCCCATTTTCCCCCAAATTCCCCCATTTCCCCCCAAATTCCCCATTTAGGATCCCCCAAATTCCCCATTTAGGACCCCCCAAATTCCCCATTTCCACCCCAAATTCCCCATTTAGGATCCCCCAAATTCGCCATTTAGGATCCCCCAATTTCCCCCATTTTCCCCCCCAAATTCCCCTTTTAGGATCCCCCAAATTCCCCCAAATTCCCCATTTAGGATCCCCCAAATTCCCCATTTAGGATCCCCCAAATTCCCCCATTTCCACCCCAAATTCCCCCCAAATTCCCCCCAAATTCCCCATTTAGGACCCCCCCAAATTCCCCATTTAGGATCCCCAAATTCCCCATTTAGGATCCCCCAAATTCCCCATTTAGGATCCCCCAAATTCCCCCATTTCCCCCCCAAATTCCCCATTTAGGATCCCCCAATTTCCCCCCCAAATTCCCCATTTAGGATCCCCCAAATTCCCCATTTAGGATCCCCCAATGTCCCCAATTCCCCCCACATTCCCCATTTAGGATCCCCTAAAACGACAAAACCCCAAACCCCATTTCCCCCAAATTCCCCATTTAGAATCCCCCAAATTCCCCATTTAGGATCCCCCAAATTTCCCCATTTAGGATCCCCTAATTTCCCCCTTTTTCCCCCCAAATTCCCCCATTTAGGATCCCCCAAATTCCCCATTTAGGACCCCCCAAATTCCCCATTTAGGACCCCCCAAATTCCCCCAAATTCCCCATTCAGGATCCCCCCAAATTCCCCCAAATTCCCCATTTAGGATCCCCCAAATTCCCCCATTTAGGATCCCCCAATTTCCCCATTTCCCCCCAAATTCCCCATTTAGGATCCCCCAAATTTCCCCATTTAGGATCCCCCAAATTCCCCCCAAATTCCCCATTTAGGATCCCCCAAATTCCACATTTCCACCCCAAATTCCCCCTTTAGGATCCCCCAAATTCTCCCCCAATTTCCCCATTTAGGATCCCCCAAATTCCCCCCAAATTCCCCCAAATTCCCCCCAAATTCCCCATTTAGGATCCCCCAAATTCCCCATTTAGGACTCTCCAAATTCCCCATTTAGGATCCCCCAAATTCCCCATTTAGGATCCCCCAAATTCCCCCCAAATTCCCCATTTAGGATCCCCCAAATTCCCCATTTCCACCCCAAATTCCCCATTTAGGATCCCCCAAATTCCCCCAAATTCCCCATTTAGGATCCCCCAAATTCCCCATTTA